CGCCTTCTTATGGCTCCCACATTGGGCACACTGGCTGGGGTGATTACTGAGGGTCCCTGGGTAATCGGGGTGACTGGGGCCGTTGGTGTGGTAGGGGTTTGAGGTAAGCTCTGTGGGGATGTCTCCAACATGTTCTTCGACATGGTGACACTAGACACCAGATTTAGCTGCAAAGGCCCGAGGAGAAGGGCAGGAAAAAGGTAGAGACAAGAGAAAAAGACTTAAAAAGGTTTGACAAATGAGAGTGGATTCACTTCTACAGCTGTGTTGCCACTAATAAGCCGCAAAAGGAAGCAGCCAATCTCAACTAATTACAGGATGAAATTGTATCATAAGAACTCTAATTAGAGAATGCTGTTAGAGGTTATCTAATAATCTACTGCAGTGTTACTTAGGCCTGACTAACTCCTTCTTGTCCTACCAGACTTCACCCAAAGTGCCTTTCCTTAAATAAAAGCCAGTTGCTGATTATTGGCTGCCCCTGTTGTTAAACTGTTCTAGCCCACAGTGAAGCAACAACAGCACAACGAGGAAGGATACAGGGGTTTGAACCAACAGCACATAAGAGAAACTTACGTTTCTCTTCTATTCTGTTGCAGCCAGAATTTTTTCCCATGGTCCCAAATCTCAGCTGAGAGGCTCCAGCCAGCTGGAAAATTTTACGCTGACCTTTAGTCTCCTTGCTAATTTGGTGGAATGGTAATGACATTACTACATATTCAAACAAAATTGTCTTAATTGCAAATTAGCCGGAGGAGGCTGAAAATTTTCAAATTAAATCTGATTGGAGATGGAGAGAGGGAAATGGAATTTCCTCACTAACAATCATTTGTGGCATGTGTTAACAAATATAATGAAATGTCAAGTTTGCCAATTCCTCTGGAAGTATCATTTTCAATTTATGATTACAGTGTCACTTAAGGCTGATGTACCCTGGAAAGTGGGTGTCAGGGTAGAAAAAAGGAAAAAGGTGAGAATGTATGCAAGCTGTTTAACAGCGTGCCCTTCCTTATTCCCCTCAGAAAGGGTCTGCTCTTCATTATCAAAAACTCATATCACCTCTGTCATATTTACCACACATCTTTTGTCATAAATAGTATCCAATTAGCAAAATTGCTATGCAGGGCAGCCCATAAGATTTCTCCCATATATTTAAATGGCATTCATGAGGGCTAACCTCTAGTCTTTTTCGTTTTATACAGTAACCTGGACAACCGAGGAAGAAAACTCATTTTCCTGTCCTGTTTCTCCACAAAGTTGCTATCAAGTGGCTGAACGGTGAATATCCAGCTTTTGTATATAATTTAGCAACACCTGCCTTTTGAAATCCCAAATCCACTTCTTAAGATAAACCTTTTTTTAATGGGGAGAAAATGATGTGTACAGCATTGATTGATCTTTCTTTGTGGATTTGTTTTACACATTTAGTCAGTAGAGAGATTTGTTAGGGAAACAAAAATTAACATATGCCAGCTAATTGTTCTTCCTTCTTGGGCAGCAGCCAGAAGAAGCACATTAGCAGTCTCCTAATAACGACTGGCACCCCGAAGGCATCCCCAAGTGCATCTGTTCCCAATAAACCACAAACTGTTATTCTGTTCATACTCTAAGCCAGCAGACTGGGCTGGGAATTCTTTGTTACGTACATAAATAAAAGCTGAGATAATACTACTAAATGCTGCATTTAATACATTTACAAAACCACTGATGTAAGCTCCCCTTTGATATGCCAGGGTCTGTCTGTGTAATCGGAGAAATAAAGAAAGATCCAGGTGCATCTCTCTCTGTGTGTGTATGTTTCTACAATAACACAGAATGTATACTTAACACTATATTCAGATCATATCGTCAGTCCTGCCTATCTGCACACTTAAAAAGGAAGACAGAACAACTTCCTCATACAATAGAAACAGCCACAAGCATTACTTTAAAAATGGGAAGGCAGCATGAAGCAGGACAAGCAGAAGCCAGAAACATGTCAAATTGTAGAGCAATGAAGTATCTATCCTGGCGAATACTAAACAAGATTCTGCATTTACTGAACACATCAAAAGTTATTAAAACAGGGGAAGTACATCTCTTTTTCTGTGCAAACCATTCATGTTTACAATGTGCCGGCAACGTATTCTGCATCCTGTAATAATGAGCATACCATGTTTGTAGGCGTGCAATCAGAAACTGATAAAATAGAATTTATTATTAACTAAAGGGAAGCATGTAAAAGCCAGGATGAGCACTTAGGTACCTCGGCTCATCTGAATATAGTCAAGGTTGGGTGAAACTCATTATTCAGAACTCGCAGCCTTGATAACTTTGATTTTCATCCATCCATAGCATGGCCAAAAGGTACCATTTAATGAAGTACCATTCAGAGAGTAAATGGGGTCATATAATAGACACTGCGGTTGCACCTTGTGTTCATGTACTGATAGCTGTTAAGGGTGCAGTGATGAACCAACAGAGCTCATTTCTCCTTGGTAATAAATTCATGCTATTAATATTTATCAAATGTGTGGGCCGTCTCAACTGAGCCACTGCACATGAGACCATAAATCTCCACTATCATATCAATTTTGAAGCTTCTTTTGTACAGTGTATAAATTTTAGGGTCTTTTTGAGGGGTGTGAGCATTGACCACTCTTCTTTCAAACCAATTTGAGGCCAGCAGCAGTTTCCCACTTCAGATATTGCTAGTTCCAAGGGGAACTTTAAACTGTGGTCTCATTTTAAATCGCTCATCTAAGATTCTGTATTAATTGCCCACCATCAAACGCAATTAGCAATTCTTTCATGTGTGGTTTATGTAATGTAATACTTCAATTACATTATTCATTCAGGTTCTGTTTTGGATTATAGGCTGAAAATTCTTTATTAGTGTAGATGTAACCATGCTGCTGGAGTTTTAAAAAATTTACTGATTGAATAATTAATTGGAAAAGAACAAGCTGTAGATTTCTGATGGATTTATGAGACAATTATTCTGTCTTGTGATTATCTACATTATACTATAGAAGCTAAGGGGGGGATTCTTACTGAAAAGAAAGTCATAAATACTGTATCAAAAAGATTCCCAAAAGTTTATTTTTTAAAATTAAAAATGCAGACATTCCATATTTTCAAAAAAATCATATGTCAGATCCAAAAAGAGATCCTTCTCTTTCCTCCTATTAAGAATATGTTTACGGTGCCCCACACTGAAACATGACACAGAGGCAAAGCTGTAACGTCTGTGCAGAAATGCCTCAGCAGAGTTTAAATAAACACAGTCTCTATGCCAAAAAGACCCATTTTGAATCATATTAATGAACAAGAGATGCCGAGACACCAGCAGAAAATCAGACAATGTACTCTGTCTTCTGTTACCTCCCCTACTACAAACCCCAGTGTTCTTTTTAGACAAGAGTGGGGCAGGAGGAGCGAGCTGGTAATCACTAATCATCAGGCCCGACAGGGGCCTGAGTGGAAAGTAGCTCACAAACTTTCATTAAACTGGAGTCACTCTGTTGATTACTCTAAGTTTCTGTGCAAACATTCTCTGGGTGAAATAACAGCATATTCTGCTTCACAGTCTATGCATCTGACTACATTACCAGGCAAAGCTTAAGTCTCATATTTTTAAGAGAAACTGTAGCTTTCTTTATTTTCTCTAAGGGCTCATTTTCACTTGGAGATAAACTCTTTAAATTAACATCAGGTAGGATATGCAGTAAGACACGCCAATATGTGATATGCATCTTAACTGAAATAGCCATCAACCCAGGAAGATAAAACTGGCTATAAAATACTACGATACTTTTGAGAAAACATTTGCTAAGAGAAAAGAAAAACAAGTCTATTTGTCGGTATCTTGTGATTGATCTGAGTCTTCTGGGCCCACCACATGCCTTTCGATTTGTGATTGGTACTGCTCCTGCTTCTTGGGGGGGGGGGGGCACTCAGAATGGGCTTCCTTTTAATATCGGTAAACCTATCACCGAAAGCTATTCCCCCTGGCTTGAGCCGCAAGGCAGTGATTTGTGCACTGATGGGTGTACTTTGTTTAGTGTCACCCACGGCGTAGATTGGATAGATTTTGTAAAAGATAGCATTACTTTAAAAGAAACATACAATTTGACAAGCGATTGCATTTTCCTTTCATTTTACCGCCGAGCCTTTCATCGCAGTCATTGTTTTCTAACTGTCCCTGAATTGTTCATTTTCTTAGTCTGTTACATCAGCACAGCTATTTACTGTTTATAAAGCAATATGCACTTACAGGTTTGGGAGATGGTTTGGGCTCTGAGGGTCGCATGTGCAAGTGGGTCATCATCGCTTGAAGACGTTCACGTTCCTTCGAAAGCTGTTAGGAAAGAGGGAGATCAGACGCGTTTTAGAAATGACTGATCCAGCTATTTTATTGCAGCGATACATCTTATCATTGAGCTTGTCTCCCAGTAATGATTCCTGCATATAAAAGCCTGGGACAAGAAACTTAGCTGGTAGAAAATGCAACTTTAGCCAGAGAAGGAGAAAACTTTTGTAGCTTTTTCTTACGTTAAAGGTCAGGGAAAACAAATAACCCTTCATCTTTTTGTCAATAAGAGAATTGAGGTCACAGTTGCTTCAACAGTCACAAGTCACCGAAACCATAAATTAGAAGGCCCATGGTGTCTCTTTAAAGTCCTGTGGACACTGTTAGCAATGGACTAGTGCCAACAGCTGTGAAGGGGTGAAGGGTCCTCAAAGCGAAGTGCCTGCCGGGATTGTCTATACACTTCATGCATTCCCACCGAGGTCCAGTTAGTGCCCCCTGCAATCCGCCATCATCAATCTAATTCAATAGAGTGACAGAGACCAGGCAGTGTGAAACGCTGAACTCTGCCACCACGTCTGCATCCACACTTGCGCTGGGTCTCATTACAACTGACGGACCTTACTTTTCCATCAGTCAGACACAGGAGAGAGGGAGGGAGGGAGAGAGAGAGAGAGAGAGAGAGAGAGAGAGAGAGAGAGAGAGAGAG